CTCCATATGAATGAGGAGGCGGGAGAACAAGGAGCCCGAGAACAATGGGGTACTATATGGCCCCAAGGCCGGCGGACATTCAATCTCCGATCCTACATCCTCCGGTGGTGGCAAACAATTTCGAGATCAAGCCAGCTCTGGTGACTATGATACAAAGTAATGTTCTCTTTCACGGCCATGAAAGCGAGCCTCCAAGAGAGCACGTGCAGAGATTCTTGGAGCTCGCGGGGAGCTTGAAAATTAATGGTGTGCCGCCCGAAGCTTTGCAACTATGGATTTTCCCATACTCACTCTCGCGGAAGGCACTTAGGTAGCTAAACAACCAACCGCCTCGGTCTGTCACCTCATGGGACGACCTCCTCAACAAGTTTATGGCTCGTTATTGCCCGCCTTCAAAGACAACGGAGTGGAGAAAGAAGATTACACATTTCGAGCAAGAGGAGGACGAAACCTTGAGGGATGCTTGGGAGAGGTACTCCGATTACTTTCTTCAGTGCCTTCACCACGGGTTTGAAGAACAGTTTCGGATTGAAACCTTCTACGGAGGCCTAATGCAAGAAAATAAGATCCTCATTGACTCCTTGTGTCAGGGGAAGTTGATGAATATGGCTCCGCCCCAAATAACGAAGATCCTAGAAGACATGGCCCTTAGGGGGTATGATTGGGGGTTGACTAGAAGTGTAAGAAGAAGCAATGAAAGGGGAGTGAGAAGCATGGGAGCGAGTGCTCCGCTTGAGGAAAAGTTGGATAACTTGCTTGGGGTTATGCTTGAAGATAAAAGGCAAGGAAAACGGGTGGTAATGTCGTGCGACTGGTGCTCAAGTACTAGCCACGAGATGGCGGAGTGCCAAGCAATGAAGGAGGCAACCACACCGGAGCAGCAAGTAAACCTTGTGGCAAATGCTAGGGTCAACAACCCATATAGCAATACATATAACCCCGGATGGAGGAACCACCCAAACTTTGCTTGGACATCAGCGGCTAACCCAAGACCCCCGGGTTTCCAAGGCCCCACGAGGAACTTCCAACCTCGGCCAACCTTTATCCAACAAAGGCCCCAACTCCAAGGCTCAAACTTTCAACAATCGTACTAACCACAAGGAGCCTTAGGGTTTCAACAACAACATCAACCCAACAAGTTATCCAAGCTTGAGGACCTAGTGAACACCTTTGTGAGTACGAGTAGCCAAAAGTTCGAGAAGATAGAGCAATTTATGGATATGGAGACCACCAAGTTTACCTCGCTTGAGGCGGGTATTTGAAGCCATCAAGCGAGCCTTCAAAACTTAGAAGTGAAAATCGGCAACCTTGCCGATATCCTCACCGAGAGAACCAAGGGAGCCTTGCCTTCCCAAACCATGGCGAATCCCAATCAAGCAGGAGTGAATGCACTTCAAGTGACAAGTGTGAAGCTGGTTCCGGAAGTTGCCACTAATGAAGTGGTGGAGAATGAGGATTCTAACAAGGAAGAAACCATCCCAAACAAGGGAGAGAAGAAGCCCTCAAGGAATGAGAGGAAGGTGGCAAGGAAGGCATTGCCGGAGGATGATATGTGCCACCTCTTCCTTATCCCACAAGGATGTACAAAGAGAGGTTGGACAACGAGTGTGGAGGGATCATGAAAATGCTACGCAACCTCCACCTCAACATCCCATTCCTCAAAAACATGGCGCAAATGCCAAGATATGCCAAGTACTTCAAAGGATTCCTCATCAAGAAGCCAAGGCTTGAAGGCCTTGCCAACGTGACTCTTGGCGAGGAGTGCTCGGTTTTCCTCCTCGATCGCTTGCCCAAAAAGCGGTCGAACCTAGGTAGCTTTACTATCCCTCTTGATATTGGTGATCACCATATAGACAATGCCTTGGTGAACCTAGGAGCTAGTGTGAATGTGATGCCCTACAAGCCTTTCAAAAATTTAGAAGTAGGTGAACTTAAGACCTCTAATCTTAGCATCACCTTAGCTGACCGTTCGGTTATTAGCTCGGGAGGTATTGTGGAGCACATGATGGTGAGAGTGGGCAAGTTTTGCTATCCGACCGATTTCGTGATTCTCAACATAAGTGAGGACTCGGATATGCCCCTCATCCTCGGTCGTCCCTTTCTTGCAACCGCCAAGGCAATGATAGATGTTAATGAGGGAACCCTAATTTTAAGGGATGGTAAGGAGAGAATCAAGCTTGAAATTGATCATAGGGTGAGGAGTGATGAAGTGAAGGGGGTAGTTTCCAATGATGTGAATCAGAGTGGAGGAGAGCCTCTCAAGGAAAACTCCACCGTTACTTGTGTTGTCTTTGATGATGTGGAGAAGGAAGTTAAGAAGTGTCCTAAGCCAAAAGGACCAAGATTGAATTCTTGGAGAAGAAGGATGGAGGGAGCTTTGAGCCAGATGTCGGGGGAGGCCAAAGCAATATTGGCCAGCCACGAGGGCCAACTCAAGGAGCCTAAGATGGGAGGCTACAAGCCTCGCCCCGAGAGTGTGGTGGATCCGCTCTCGGTGGCATCACGTTTGAAGTCGTGATTGATCCCCAACCATCAAGCTAATGTCGATGAACAAGCGCTTGTTGGGAGGCAACCCAATGGAGGTTTGTTTTCTTTTCCTTAAGTTTTCGTTTTTGTGTCTTGTGAAGGGTTCGAGTGGTGAAGTGGTGTCCCCATGCCGAGTGTTGTGATTTTGCGGTTTATGGTTGTGTTGTGATCGATTAGGAGGCATGAAGGAATAGGTTGAGTCAAAAATTTTGAAGAAGTGGCCTGTTTTCACTTTAGTTCACGGATGGATTGTCCTCCCTCATCCTACTTGAGTCTCCAGGTTTGTTTTTCAACTTTACCTTTGTGAATTGCGGAGAATCAGATTAGGTAGTGAAGTGAGGTTGAATTTTATCCTTGGCATGATTGAATCTAGTTAGGGCGAGGACTTGGGTGAATTAGGTCGTGTGATTGATGGATTGATTATTGCATGAACTTAGTGAGCCTTGGTGGGCATGGTTGAATCAAATTGTGCTTATTTTTAGAATTTTCCCACTAAGTTCTATGTTATTAATGCAAGTGGAGTTTGTTTTTGATAGGTGGATGGTAGCCACCGTGGTAGGGGGTTGTGGTTCAACTTTTTGTGTGCTTGAACCATGAAATACCCACAACCATGCCACGGTGGTTTGAACTTAAATGTTTTAGCCATGGTGGGAACATAAGTGTGGGGGGAATCTCTTTTCCGCCCAATGAGCGGTATATGACGGATGTTTCCTCGTATGGTGTGTGTTTGTTTTTGTGCAGGATGCTTAATGATGACTTGATGTATACACATGTTTTTGTCCACCATTTTTACACTGTTTGAGTCTTATTTCTCGTGTTTTAGGCCGATTTCACGCTAGGTTGTTCTTGTTTGTGATAGTTCAGGTCCTAGTATGTGAATGAATGTTTGGGAACGAGTTCGGGGTCGATTGGACGAAGATTGGACGTTTGGCGAGAAGCTGAAGAAGCCACACGGGCATGCCTAAAACCCACACGGTCGCGTGACTTGGGCGTGTGGCACCAAATTGCATGGGCAGGCCACACTGGCCTTGTAGGGGACCCCTTGTGGTCGTGTGGAAAGTCCAAGGAGCTCACACGGGCAGCCTGGACATCCACACATCCATGTGGTTTTGGCCGTATAGCATACCTGAAGCCACTTAAGTGAAACGCGGTGTTTTGCACACTCACACGGGCAGCAGGGAAAGCCACACGGCCGTGTGGCCTGGACGTGTGGTCAAGAATTTCTGGGTTTTAACCCAAATTCGAGCCAAATGAGAGAGAATCGACTTTTTGGTGCAAAAACAGAGCCCTAGAGAGAGAAAGTGCAAAGAACACATCCTAGAAGTGATTTTGGAGCTGGGTTTCATCAATCGAGCTTGGAGATCATCACAGGAGTGAAGATTGACATCCCAGAGCATATTCTTCCCATTGTTATGAGTATGACTGCTTTGTATTCTGTTTCCCTCTCTCTCTATGGAGTAGAACTCTCTCTCACTTGGGTATGAAGAACCCTAGTTCCATGTGTTAGGAATCTTGATTGTAATTACGTTTGGATTGTGATATTGCTTGATTATAATCAATTGAAGTGTTTTGAATGAGTCAATTGAAGTCTGATCATCTTTTATTGATTTCTGCTGCAACCTAAGATAGATAGAATATGATTATGTTGTTAGAGCTTCTTCAATCGGTAGTAGTGAATCGATTATACGAGAGTTAGTCGATTCATTGCTTTGTACTGGAATCTAATTCCAGTAGTGGAGTTCTGTGTTCATTGCCTCAACGTTCTATCCCGGTGAAGATTAGTCGTCTGCCGGGTAGTTTGTCTGAGAGGGCTTGGTCAGCTTAAGAGATTCCAAGCTACTGTCGGATCTTCCGCAGTATAATCAGCAGTAAAGCAACGAAAAGTAATTATAACTGTGACCTAACTAAGGAGCTATGGGGACTCATTCCCGAGTGACTCTTCCTTTGCTTTAGAAAATCGAACCATTTCATGTTTTCTTACTGCTTTTACTTAAATCAACAATCAATCAACTTAGTTTGCTAGATAACAGATATACACGGAGTAGGCAGTAGATCTAGACCCCAGATTGACAATTAGAGCTTGCCTGTTACTACATTTCCGGGCTGCGATTACACTTGATTGCAGTTTGGTGTTGTGTTTTAACGTGTCAAGTTTTTGGCGCCGTTGCCGGGGATCTAGGTTATTGTAGAAACGTGAAATTCTGTTACTTTAGTTTTTTTTTCTTTTCTGTTCCACCCTTGCTTTTCACTTGGGTGTTATGTTTTTGTTGGTGCAGATCTGAAACATGGATCCTCATGGCTTCTCCAACCATTAGGGGTATCAACCACAATCCATGTGGTATTACCTCGAGACTTCCTGGAGCAATCAAGGAGGAGAAGACTATGGATTCGGATGTCAGTACCAACCCCCCTACTATGGAGAACAACCAAACCCTTGGGAACCTCAAGAACAATATCCTTTTCAAGAAGAATTCCTGCCACAACCAGAGGGGCCATCTGAGTTGGAGTTAGCCATGGAGGCCTTCACGGGCCACTCTGCAGAGCCATGCTACACTTCACTGGAAGATCCGAACAAATAATTAAGGCTTCTCGTGGAGCAGTTTGCTTGAGACACTGAGAGATCATGCTCCAAGATGGATCTTCAAATCCAAGCCCTTGCCCTTCCGATCCCTCATTTCTCCATGAAATGGAGGAGACTGTTCAGTGCTCAGCGAAGCAAACAGAGTGGGTGGAGAAAGTTTGCTCACATCCTGCTCAAGATCACCTTTCTCCTACCGCGCTAGAAGAGGTGGAGGATAACAAAGGCTACGGGGACGTTGAGGAGCATACATAAGTTATCACAGAGAACTCTCATGATAATCATGATCAGGAAAGTCCTCTGGTTGCAGATCACACCTTTCCTCATTTATGCTCTAACATGCTAGGCCCGAGCGAGGAGATGCAAGATGATCTCATTGAAGAAATTACATGGCGACTTGCTCTCCAATCTGTTCTAGAAGAAGAAGAGAGAGAAAGGTTGAGGGAAGAAGTTGTGGAGGATGAGAAAGAAAGAAAAGAAGAGGAAGTTCTTGATCTTTTCCAATGGGAGAGACCACATTCTGATGAAGGAAGGTGGGTTGAGGAAGCAATTGTCGTCCAGGCTAAGGATGAAGTTGAGGTGGAAGAGGCTTGCACCGGCCCTATATTACATGTGTTATCTCACCAAACTTCGAGGAGCTGCTTGGCAAAGACCCATTTGCAGTGTCTCTTTGCCAAACCAAGACCACATCAACATCAATCCCTCTTGGTGGATGCGATGGTTGTCAATCGAATATATCTTATCTGGTTTGGGGCAATGAGACAAGAGCAGATGTGAAGGAAAGGTCTCGTGAGTGGAGACTTCATCTTCCTCAAGGCCACGAGCCATCTTTATCACCTATCACATCACATGTTCGTGACTTGAGACTCCACCTCATTAATGAGAACCTCAACCCTTTGGTTCTGTCCGTGTGGCCTGGCCGTGTGGTCTGGAATTTCTGGGTTTTAATCCAAATTTGAGCCAAAGGAGAGAGAATTGACTTTTTGGAGCAAAAACAGAGCCCTAGAGAGAGAAAGTGCGAAGAACACATCCTAAAAGCGATTTTGGAGCTGGGTTTCATCAATCGAGCTTGGAGATCATCAGAGGAGTGAAGATTGACATGCCATAGCAGATTCTTCCCATTGTTATGAGTATGACTTCTTTGTATTCTGTTTCCCTCTCTCTCTCTCTCTCTATGGAGTAGAACTCTCTCTCACTTGGGTATGAAGAACCCTAGTTCCATGTGTTAAGAATCTTGATTATAATTACGTTTGGATTGTGATATTGCTTGATTATAATAGATTGAAGTGTTTTGAATGAGTCAAATGAAGTCTGATCATATTTTATTGATTTCTGCTGCAACCTAAGATAGATAGAATCTGATTAGGTTGTTAGAGCTTCTTCAATCGGTAGTAGTGAATCGACTATACGAGAGTTAGTCGATTCATTGCTTTGTACTGGAATCTAATTCCAGTAGTGGAGTTCTGTGTTTATTGCTTCAGCGTTCTATCTAGGTGAAGATTAGTCGCCTGCCGGGTATTTTAACTGAAAGGGCTTGGTCAGAATAAGAGATTCCAAGCTACTGTCGGATCTTCCGCAGTATAATCAGTAGTAAAGCAACCAAAAGTAATTTTAACTGTGACCTAACTAAGGATCTAGGGGGACTCATTCCCGAGTGACTCTTCCTTTGCTTTAGAAAACCGAACTATTTCCTGCTTTCTTACTGCTTTTACTTAAATTAACAATCAATCAACTTAGTTTGCTAGATAACAGATATACACGGAGTAGGCAGTAGATCTAGACCCCGGGTTGACAATTAGAGCTTCCCTGTTACTGCATTTCCGGGCTGCAATTACACTTGGTCGCAGTTTGGTGTTGTGTTTTAGCGTGTCACTTATCTTGGAGCATGAGTTCATCAGTTACCTGGTGAACCACCCAGAGTTTGGCGACAAGTTCGCCTACCAGAGTGACAGCCCGATCAGGCCTCACTGGGGCCTGGACCTGGACATGCTTAATTTGTTCAGGTGCCGAGCTGCCATGACTGGAGTACTCTCCCATCCCTAGTGGCACCAACTCCAGAAAATGGACGAGGAGATTTTCCATGAGCTGTGTCTGGTGTTCTTCTCCACCTTTTCCCACATCGTCCCGGCCAGCAAGAAAAGTCGGCCCTGGGTGGAGTTTATGCTGGGCGATCAGCTGGGAGTGCTGACCTATGATGGCTTCTCTCAGGCCATGGGACTCGACACCGCTCACATGACGATGACGGAGCGGCAGTAAACAGTCGACTTCAACTACTAGGGCGCATTCAGAGCCCTCTGCCACCCAGAGCACGAGCAGAGCGAGTTCGAGGGAGCCGAACCAATTCTATCAAGCTGAAGACCTAGTGGAGGATTCTCCACACTCTACTCACCAGATCTGTCGTCCCCAACCTTTAATCAGGCCACTTGATGACGAACAAAGGGCTCATCACGAGGAATTCCCGTCACTTCCAGGTGGATCTGGCCCGCTGCACCATCGTCGGAAGGATGGAGCCCTTCCTAGTGGAGACATTATATAACCAAAAGCTGGTACTCTAGGGCTAGAGGGTATTGGAGTACCTTGATGGACTCCAAACTTCCGGAGTCATCCGAGCTACAGCAGCACCGGCTCTAGTGGAGCCCGACCCCGAGTCCCACCAGCAGCAGAGCAGCCACCTGCTCGTGCACCCGGCCTCCACCGACACCCAGCGCTCCCGTGCCCTGCACAGCAGCCACCACCACCAGGAGTAGGCGATCCCCTTGTCTAGAGGGTGGATCACCTTGAGACAGGCTTCTTGGGATTCTCATCCCACCTCGAGCGACAGTCTGACATCCTCGAGCTCATAGCTCGTCGCCAGGGTATCCTACCCGATTCTGGAGAGGGTCCATCCATAGGAGAGAGGTAGCCGACGAGAGAGACATGTGGGAGAGCGGATTCCTTTCGCCCCACTTCTCTACTTATAACCCTAAACTTGTTTTATTTTTGTTTTGGTTATTTGTGTGTGTGTGTGTGTGTGACATGAACTACTACTACAATGTATTGTGCTTATAATGACCTCGCCTTGAGCGAGTCGTAATGTGCTTATGTGTGTGTTTTGTTGTCTCTCCTTGAAACTCAAATTATCCTACCCGGTTCGATTCCTACATTCACTCACCAAGCCCAAGCGGTAACATCACTCTACCCCTTTCTTACGCCATTGAGGGCAATACCGAGTTTAAGTGTGGGGGGGGGGGGGGGGTAGTCTACTAGTATGCTTGTGTGACTGAGATGTTGCTTGGAGCCTTTTGTATGCCCAAATTTCAAAAATATGAGGGCTACAAGCAACGTTTGCATATTCAAAGTGACCGAATGGTGGGAAATTCTTCTGTTTGTGGCATTGATCTTGAATTGTTGCATGTGATCGAATATATCCTATGATGATGACTGAGAAGTTCATTAGGATAGGACAAAAGTTTAATTCTTAAGTGTGCATAAATGAACGAATGTCTTGACTTGATCACTTGTTGTTTACAATTGCCATGCATCGTATTTGTGAATTGGAATAAATGGTTGGGTAACTAGCTAGCCTATGAGCTTTGAGTCGTTCGTTTCTTTTGGTGTGATAGTTCCCTCTTACCACGGTGTGTAGCATCACAGTTGTCACTAGCAAGTATGATGGAGGCATAGGATGAGTCCACTCCCAAAAGTTGATTGTCCCGAAATGCATCATCCCTTAGTCAACCCCTTTGAGCCTCGTGACTCCGTGGTTTGTTCTCAATTTAGGAGCTTCGTTCGTGTGAGCTTCAAGGTGTTAGTAGAACGATTTCTTCGTGTCCAAACATGAGTCGCCCGTGTATCCCGGAGCTCTTACCGTTGAGTTTCCATAGACGTTCTACATAGGAGGTTCGTGTGTGGTCCTTGATAGGGATGAGAAAAATGAAGTGTAGTGTTAAAGTGAGTTCCTAAAAAATAGAGCAATGGCCGTTAAAAGTATAGGTGGCAAGTGTTGTTACTCTGTAGTACCCCCCCCCCCCCCCCCCCCCCCCCCCCGTAAAGAAAAGAAAATAAAAAGAGAAAAGAAATAGAGGTAATAAAATGGGGTAAATAAAGTAGAGAGTGCCACGAAAAACAAAAATACATGCTCTAGGAGGGGTTTCTTGGCGCCCAAGCCATCGAAACCCCCGCATTGTTTAGAACTCCTTCACTACTAAACCTTAAAAAACTCGCAAGAGTTGACCGAGGAAGAGTGCTTCAAGGTAGTTCATGATGGGTGATAGTTGGAAGGGAGAGATAAGGGTTTTGGCCGATGCTAGTGGCCTTTGATTGAAGAGAAGGGTATTAGTCGAAACCATAGACCCTTCGGGTTTAGGCTAAAGATGTAGAACCTCATGTCATGATTACCACCACCCAAAAAGCCTTTTACCCATGTCCAAGCCAATCGCCAGTCATCTGAACCCATGTCTAAGACCTCCAGACGAGCTAGTGGTGACAACCATCCCGTGAACTCTAGCATTTAGAGGTTACCGCCGTGGTATTGAGACGATAGGGCTAAGAGGTTACGATTATGCACATCTTTTGCACCAAAAAGGTCCCGACCACACTGGTCTTGAGAGTGAGTGATCCATTCTTGTTTTACTTACCATTTCATACCCCGGTGAGGACCTTCGTCGCCTTTCCATTTGTTCCCCGGGCATGAATTCCATGCATGGACGGTTGTGGTCGATAAGTGGTTTAGTTGAGACTTGCATTTATCCATGAATAAGTTGAGAACTTTTTGTTTGCCCTTTTTGGTGGCTTTCAATGTCGTTTGTGGTGAATGTCGGGATTGCTTGCAACGGTTCATGTGTCGATTGTCAATAAACATCGAGAATTCACACTTCATGTCCTTTGAGTTGTCCCCAAAACATTTGTGTAGATTGAAATATTACCTTGTTCATGAAATGGTTTGCTTGGAAACAAGCAAACCTCTAAGTGTGGGGGAGTGATTCGGGCCTAATTGCACATGTTTTGCTCCCGTTTTACTTAGATGTTTGGGCCAAATTCGCTCCTTAAAGGTCGATTTTATGTTAGGTTCTTCGTGTTTGAGTGTGTTTCAGGATTTAACAGGTGAAACCAGCCTCAGAGTCGAAAGATAGGCGAAAAGGATTGAAAACCGGGAGAAGAGGTGAAAAGGCACCTGTTCACGGTAACTGAAGGAGTTCACGGTCATGCAAGACCGTGAAGAAGGAGACTTGACCGTGAATCGCGAGGCGTCCAGAGCCAATTTGAAGGTTACTTACGCAAGGTGAGTTCACGGTCACTAAGATCGTTAACACAAGTAGTTTCCTGTGAGTTGACGTGAGCGATGCGGAGCGTTTTGGCGCGCGGCTTGAGTTCAAGGACGCGTTTGATGGTTCACGCCCGTGAACTCAGCTCTTCTCGTGTTGAAAAGCTGAGTTGAGGAGAGGCCACTTTTGTGAGAAAAGCACCTTCTTCAGCATTCTTGTGAGAGAAACAGAACCAAAGGGGAGAGGAAGGTTAGAGTTTGGATTCAAGGCTGGTTTTGGGAAGATTTCCCCAAGGAGATCTCAGCTCAAGGGTCAAGAAGAGAGGAGGCATCCCCAAAAGATGGTTTCCACCTTTTTCCCTTTTGTTCTTCCCACTTCTACCATGGAGTAGACCTCCTTTCACTTGGGTGTAGTGAAACCCTAACTCTACCATGTAGTTTTCTTGTATGTGGTTTGGATGATTGATATTGGGTATTGTTCAATTCAATGTTTGAGGCAATTTTCACCATGATTGTGCATGCTTGTGCTTAGCAACTTAGGGGTTGTGCATGTTTTGTGCTTAGCATTCTAGGGATTGTGCACAATTGTGCTTAGCACCCCCTAAGTTTGTGCATTTAAGTGCTAGTAATCTAATTTGCCACCTTAGCCTAGTTTAGAGAAGAAAATCCACGATTAACGTGCCCAAGGCAATCGTTCCTCTCCGATTCACGATTAACGTGCCCAAGGCAATCGTTCCAATCCACGTAGCATGGTAGCGGTTAGGGGGAAGGGAAACCCGAGTGACTTTCCCACAAAAGAGTTTTCAAACCAAATTACTTTTGCTTTCTTTCATTTCAATTAGCAAACCTATAAACCAAAGTTTTATCGCTAGATAATGATTTCAACAACCGAAGTAGGGGTAGACAGACCGGCTCGGGTCGATATCTAATTACTTTCCCTATACTGCACCTGATTAGAGTTTAAAAACTTGGGCTCTAATTGGGGTTTCTTCCTTGTTAGAATCCTCATTCCCCACCACTTCATTAGTGGCAACTTCCGGAACCATCTTCACA